CCATGGTTGCGTCGCGGCGGGGGTGGGAGGGTGTGTGGTGATGGCGGAGGGGTGGAGTTGGTGCGCCGCGTAGGAAGGCGTGGGTGGGTGAATGCGGAGGCGACGTCTTGTTGAGGGAATCGTGTCAAAAAGTTGAGATGCGTCGCAAGGCTGGGGCTTAGATCGCCGGCGCCCGCCCAGAACGCGCTAGGACCAAGGTAGCGAGTGCCGCTCGTCGCGTCGAAGTGGGATGTTGGTACGGGCATGTTTTGGCGGGCGCGCTTTACCGAGGTGCCGATGCTACCCACTTGTTGGAGCTCTGAGCTCATCTGCTCTCTTTCGATGTAAATACATGTTGCCTGAGCTGGACTCGTAGTCAAAGCTCAATTCTACACACTCAATATGCAGGCATTACGATCAACACCGAGGGTCGCCTCTCAATTCCGGTCTACCGGTCTACCCAGACTTGCGAGGGGATATGCGACAGAGAGGTCCTTCGAGCATTTGCTTGTATCGGTGGCCAGACCTGGTGTTGGTTTGAGTATGTTACCACCTTCTATTCAACTACTATCATACACTGCTAGAGAGATGTGTTTGGACTAACAACCCCAAGTCCAGATCAACCGTCCCAAAGCCCTCAACGCCCTCTCCACCCCCCTCATCCTCGAGATCAACCAAGCCCTCCGCGACTTCCAAGCTTCAAAATCCATCGGCGCCATCGTCCTCACCGGATCGGAAAAGGCATTCGCAGCCGGTGCCGACATCAAAGAGATGAAGGACCTTACCTTCAGCGACGCATATGGCAAGGACTTCATAGAGTCATGGTCGGACCTCATCACATTCCTCAAGAAGCCACTTATCACAGCCGTCAACGGATATGCGCTAGGTGGAGGCTGTGAGCTCGCCATGATGGGAGACATCATGTACGCAGGACCCAAGGCCGTGTTCGGACAACCCGAGATCAAGCTGGGCGTCATACCCGGTGCAGGTGGCTCGCAGCGCCTTACCAAGGCAATTGGAAAGTCAAGAGCCATGGAAGTCATCCTCACTGGCGACAACATCACAGCGCAACAAGCAAGCGACTGGGGCCTTGTTGCCAAGGTGTTCGAGACACCCGAGGAGTGTGTTAGCGGTGCCATCAAGACCGCGGAGAAGATTGCGGGATACAGCCAGATTGCTGTCAAGGCAGCCAAGGAGGTTGTGAACAAGAGCCAGGAACTTGGTATTAGGGAGGGCGTGGAGTATGAGAGGAGAGTGTTCCATGGCCTGTTTGGGAGCCAGGATCAAAAGATTGGTATGACTGCTTTTGCGGCGAAGGAGCAGGCCAAGTGGACGAACAAATAGATGTTTGTAGGATAGATGAAAGGAAGCAGATCACGTCAACCAAAAAAACCGAACAGGCCCGATGCCTACATTATCATAAAAACCTACAAGATAGGTGACCCGGCGTTGATGTAGGCTACAGACCTGTTCAGTTTTTTTCTTGTATGAGGTGAGATGATTGAAATCGCCTTGAACACATTTGTTAGTGCATGCGGGTTTCTACGAGGAGCTGTGTGACCCAGAATACCAAGCTTAGTTTAGCACTCAAGAATAGGCTGTACGACGCGCTAAATCTACCATTCGATTCTGGAATGCGTACTAGAGAATAGCGATCCCAATTCCATCACGGTCGACATGGAATGGCATCGCATCTCAATGAAGCTACGCGTGCCTCGGCAGCACCCGATAAGCTTATCGGCAGCACCTGACAACCCGCGCACGCACGCGCGTGAGATGACGCGAGTACATGTGGGGAAACTCTGGAACACTACCCCATCTGACATGCCGCTACTCTCCCAGACATCCTCCTCTCCACATGCCCAACCCTCACCATGGAAGCGACACCGCCATGGTTACGCGACGCCCTCCGCTTCGCTCTAACAGCGACAGCATCGACTGAAGCCCCCTGGTGGGCGCACGACTACGACGCCTTCAAAGCCGCCGGCGGAGGCGACCTTGTCGATCCGGATGACCCTGGCAAAGACCCGCGGTTCCGCAAACTCGTCGAAGCCATACTGTTCAGCCGGAGGTTTTTGAACACATACAACTTGGTCCTGCTGGGCGTGCTGCTGGTCTTCACAGTGTGGCATTGGTCCGAGAAGATCGTGCTGCACCGGCGGAAGAGGCGCATAGCCAGTACAACGAAGGGAGATGATGAGACGGCGCATGAAGAGGAGGCAGAGGCCTGGAGTAGCTCGAGTAGTACTATTGAAGGAAATGCGACGCCCCCCGATACCACCGCCGCGAAGAAAATAAACGATGCTGATGAAGCGAGCCCTCTTCTTCCTTCGCAGCGACCCCGACGCGTGACGAGATCTGTAGTATGGCGTCCTTACTACATGCTCAAGTCCGCGCTGCAATACCAACCCCGACCTATACCTGTTGTCAACAAAATACTACCTACGAACGCCGTCTCGCTGCTCGTCCTCGCTTGGATCGGTCTGAATATCTTCTACAACTTCTACCGCATGCCGCTCTCCTTCATGTACCTCTTCGTCTTCGCCGACCGCTGCGGAATCATCTTCATCATGAATCTGCCCCTGCTATACCTACTCGCCGCGAAGAACCAACCGATAAAGTTGTTGACGGGATACTCGTATGAAAGTTTGAACATCTTCCATAGGAGAGTAGGAGAGCTCATGTGTCTGGAGGCGTTCTTGCATTTCCTCGGTATGGTGGCTGTGTGGTATGGCATGTTGAGGCATCTGGGTTTTACGCTGGCGAGATTCATATTCAACCGCGTTGTGCTGTTAGGTCTAGCCGCGCTGATTGCGTATGAGTTGATCTACTTCACGAGCTTGGGAAGCTTCCGAAAGCGGTGGTATGAGATCTTTCTGGGCTTACACATCGTACTTCAGGTCGCTGGATTGGTTTTCCTATGGTTTCATCATCACACCTCACGGCCATACGTTGGCGTGTCCCTCGCCATCTTCCTCATCGATCGACTAGTCTACCGTATGTGGCTGAAGTCCAGTACCCACCCCGCAACACTAGAAATCCTGGAAGATGACGAGACCCTGCTGCTTTCAGCAAACTGGGAAGTCGACACGAAGAAATCCGCGGTCCTGGCCAAGACCATGACACAAGGCTGGAAACCAAATGAACACATCTTCATCTCCGTCCCATCTCTCTCCCGCAAACACGGCATCCAATCCCATCCGTTCACCATCTTCTCCGCTGCCCCAACAACATCAACGCAAGACGGCCAAGGAAAACACGCCTGGTTCTCCCTTCTCATCCGCGCCCAATCCGAACCAGGTTTCACACACAGCCTCCTCCGCCATGCCCGCGCCTCCCCAAACCCAACTACACAACTCCGCATCCGCCTCGACGGCCCCTACGGCTCATCCCACGCCCTCGACCTTCTAGAGTCCTCCTCAACAGCCATACTCATCGCAGGCGGGTCCGGCATAGCAGTCGCCTACCCCCTCCTCTACGCCCTTTTGCAACCCTCCTCCACCGACCCCGAACCCACGCTCAGATCCCAGAGAAAAGTAAAATTACTCTGGATAACGCATTCACTCGACCACCGTCTCTGGATCCCAGAGGATAAACTAAAGGAATTAGAGGATTGGGGTTTAGATGTGCTCATCACGCCGCCGACGACACTTGCCGGGCGACCGGATGCTGGTGGTATTGTGAGGGAGTGGGTTGAAGAGGAGGATGTACATGGGAATACGAGGACTGGTGTTGTGGTTAGTGGACCGGATGGGCTGGTCAGGGATGTAAGGAATACATGTGCGGAGTTGATTTGGAGCGGGAGGAATGTCGATGTTCAGGTTGAGAAGTTTGGGTGGTGAATGTCTTTCATTTCAACAATATCTGCGGAGTTGGCTGGCTTCTTTGGTTCTCTGGAGTTTGTGATAGACAGGGTTGGGTGGGAGTTTTGCTTTTGCTTCTGCTTGTGTCTTCACATTCGCTGTAGCGTTTTGTTGTAAGAAAGAGAGAGTTTTTGGGGGATGGATGGCAGTGGCATGAGTATGCCATATCCGAGTATTGACTAAGTGGACGCTTGCGACGGTTCTGATCACGTTCCAACAGCCGTTAGATAAAAAGCATCTAACGGCTGTTGGAACGTGATCAGAACCGTCGCATGCGTCCACCTCGAGAAGACTGGGATGGAGCTGATGGTGATCGGCCCTATACCATCGTACGATTCAATCCACGTGGTTGCCCACCCAAGCAACCAAGTGGATTGGATCGTACGATGGTATCAGCTTCAACGCAGTCTACTCGTAGTGAATACTTGGGCATAGCATTGAAATTAGAAGACCCAGCTATCTTCCGTGTCAAGACCCATCAACCAAAACCATCTCATCTATGTTTATACAAACGTTTCCTCACTGAATGCTAATGCCTGTCCCCTAAGTTTGCGATAGACTGGCACGTTAGCCTAGGAAAAAATTTCAACACCCTGGAGCCTACATTAAGATAAAAACATACAAACCAGGCGGTCTAAGATCAACGTAGGCTCCAGGGTGTTCAGTTTTTTTTATTGTATGAGGTGCTAGGTGGGTAGGAGTTCTTCTTTGCGCTTGTTGTCTGGTCTTGTCACATTCGCTTTGGCGGTCACCTGTGAGAAAGACAGAGAGAGAGAGAGAGCATTTGGGTGATGACAGTGGCGATGAGCAGCCATGTCCGAGTATCCACTACGTGTGCGATTCCATCCGAGCTGATGATGTCCCTATACCACTTGGTTAATCGAGTAGCACGAGGATATCATCAGCTCCGCATGGAATCGCACACGTAGTGGATACTCGAACAGGGCATCGGGATTAGAAGATTCAAGCATCTCCAATCTCACCCATCAGCCAGAACCGTATCATCTAACTTTATAAAAACGTTTCCCCTTAAACGCCAATGCTTGTCCCCCAAAACGCCCATGCCAATGCGATTAGCCAAGAGTAGCTTTGCATATCCAAACCCTCCATGCATACACCTCAGCCATCCGCAATGAAACTTATAACCCGGGATGAAATCTACCGTCCCCGAGCAATATCCCTAGTCTCCTTCTTCTTCTTAAGATACGCACTAATCTGCTCCACCTGACTCACAAAGAAACAGCGATTCGCGTCGTTCTGCCACACCAGCACACCGAGCGCACCCGCATACCCCAGCACATCCCTGTACTCTGATTCGGAGCCGAATTCGCGCATCAAGTATCCCGTTGTAGTCTCCACACGCTCGCCTTCGTATTCCCATAGTCGGATTTGATCCATGACCGTGGGCGGGATGTAGGGAATAGTCTTCTGCATCTGAGGATGCGCGTAGGTCGTCAGATAGGAGATGATTTGGCTCGACGTGATGCCTGATTGAACGGCTTTGTGGACGGATTCTTTGGTGAGTTTGCCGGAGACGAGGTTGGGGAAGCGATGTTGGAGTTTGGTGAAGAGGGATAAGATGGCGATTTGGATGAGGCTGTTTGTGTAGGCGTAGAGGCGATAGTTTGTTTCGATGATGATGAAGCCCTTGTTTGCGGATGCCGAGGGGCCGGCGTTGCCTTGGGAGGCTTGGGCGATGTCGTTGGAGGAGGCGGACATGGCGCTGCCGGAATCTGAGGTCAGGGTTGTGGCGAGGCGCGTGGGGTAGAAGGTTCGCGCGTTCTTGTCCGAACGATAGACAAGGCCCATGGAGGAGAGGTCCTCGAGCATCTGAGATTGGGTGGGGGAGAGCGTGGATGTGGAATAGTCTTGGCCTAGTTCTAGGGAACCAAGCATGAAGAGGAAGGATAACACTTCGGTTTCGGACATGCCGAGCTGGGGGTCGATGTCAGATTCGGTGTTCGTTGGCGTCGGCTGAGCTCGAAGAGGACAGTCGTCGCAGGGTTCGTGGGGTTCAATACTTACTTCGTTGGTCATTTTCAGGTAGACGATGAGCAGACTCCAGACTTGGGCGTTCGTCTCTTGCAGCACAAAAGAGAAGCCGTCTTTGGTAATCCTTGGACTTCCATGTACGGTCCTCACAAGGTCACCGGTATGTAGCAGCTTCTTCGTTCCAGGACCGACTTCTGCTCTCTCGATGCTGTCTCTGCTAAGTCCAGCCGCGCCGCTCACCAAGTAATAGAGTATACCCTCCCATTGCGATCGCGAGTATTCGTCGAGGAAGTCGATGCTTAACCGCTTTCCGCCGCTCTCTTCTCTGGTCGCCGGCACGCCGAACGAGCGGTGGGTACCGGAGCCCTCGAGGGCGTTTCGTAGGCTGCCCTGGAAGTCTTTGCTGATAGTCCACGAGAAGGTACCGTCGTCCTGTTTAGCAGGGGCAATGATGTGTAGGCGTTCGAGGGTAAAGAGAGCCTGTTCCTTCTCTTTCCTAGCGGAAGGCTTGAACCAGGCGTCCATGTCGGCTACGGGGAAGGATGAGGGTCTGTAGAGCATCGCAAAGACTATGGATTTGGCTGTGGCTCCGTTAGCGACAGGATCGCGGACGTAATAAATGCACTCACCAAGATGCGGAAGCATGCAGCGGAGCACCGCCAGCACGGTGGAAGGCTGCTCATACAGCCGCCGGTGTGTCGCGACAGGCAGACCCTCGAGGTATTCCAGCGCCTGAGATGAAGATGAAGCCGACATCGTGGGGGATGTGGAGAGGAGGATGTCGGTCTACCGCCGTATTATCATGTTCGGAGAGAAAGGGTCCACGAGTTTGGGCGGTAGCGACGCGTGGGTCGCGCAAGTGGAAGTCGCAGGTCGCCAATCGCCAAAGAAAGTTGATGACGCGCCGAGCGAGCGGAAAGCTCACCCCACAAATTCCGCTCCACCCTGGTCTAGCTTCCGAGGTACGTGGGCAACTGCCGAGCGGAACAACGACATCACTCTTCGCACATCACGGGGTGAGCATCAATCATGCCGGCGCTGAAGTTTGTGAGATCTGTGAGTTAACCAACCATGTCATTGACCAACCTTATAGATTTTCTAACGTGTTGCTAGGTCTGGGAGTCGTTCCGAGCGAACTCGGGCCTGGAGCCAAGGTACCGCCAACACCTAAGCATGTATACACGAAGCTAATAAAAGCGACACGAAAGACTACTAGACGGTGTAGGTTATGAGAGTTCATAGCTCTGGTACACTGTTATGCTAACACCAATTCTAGCTCCGAGTAACCTCGGCAGTCCCAGGACGCGTCAAGTTCGAGCTAGACATCCAGAAAGAGCATACAGTCCGTGCTATCCCACCTATCGTCTCCTACAATGTTCTCGAAACTCACCTAATGTAGAACCGCCTTAACATCCTCCACGGCGGCACAATAGCTAGCATGGGTAAGCCGCCCCTCCCAAAACCCCCACTCAAACACCAGTATCTCACAACCCCACCCAGTCGACCTCGGCGGCTCCCTAGCAGTAGCCTCTCGCGGCCTCTTCGCAACAGGCGTATCCACCGACCTAAACGTAACCTACCTCTCGTCCGGCGGCAAGATTGGCGACTTGATCAAGGCCGAGGTGACGTGTGACAAGTGTGAGTCCATCATGTTGGCATGCCTTGCTCAAGATACTCGATCGCTGATTACATAACTCCAGTCGGAAAAACACTCGCTTTCACATCCATCAACTTCAGCAACAACAAGGGAGAGGTCTTCGCACGGGGAAGCCACACCAAGTACGTTGCGTTGGCGTGGAAAGACCCCAACAACATCGTCGAAGAGCTTTCGCCCAAGCCGGAGAAGAAAGAGTAGAAGCATAGATGCGGTGAACATGATGCGTCACGGCGCATATCTTGTGGGAAAATACGATATCTGGTCATAGCACTCTGAATACATACGTCTGGTCCTGGGCTTAGTCGATAGGCTTGGGCTTAGCGGCCCGGGGACGAGCTGCTCTTGAAAATCACTTCGAATTGTTGGGAGACCTCATTGTTCGACCTTCCAACAATTCGAAGTAATTTCCAATAGCGTTTCGATCTCGGATTGCTAAGCCCAAGCCTATCGGATAAGCCGTTAGAGACCGCGGGCAAACAAGGGCCTACTGATTCGTGATAACTTGCGTGTGAAAGCCATTGAAAGCTGTAAATCTCGTGTCGTTACATGAATTGTACAAATGTCATGCTCTCAGCATTCAGCACCTCAGTCAATGAATGTCGCCGGTTCTACCCAAGCTGTAATGTCGACTAAAAATTACATTACTACATCTTTGTCGATATCTAACAATGCATGCTTCCCGTGAAGACCACAAAGTTGATGACTTGATGTTCTCAGACCATGCACAAGATCTCAAACTCTCGCGCTTCCTTTGTGCCCTCGTTATGTCTCGTGACACCTTTTACTGTTTGCAGGTTTCACATGATCGTAACATCATCTTCAACTTCCGTGTTCTCGTCCAGGTCGTAACGTGGCCATCCACCTTCCACAACCTCCATCATCCTGGTAGAATTATGAACCATCCGAGGACGTCTCCTGGTTCCGCTCAGTCGAGTCGTCGGATTTGTTCCAGCCCTTGCCCTTCATTAGGTTGATCAGGCTAGCCTTGCGTGGGGTCAGCTTCCTCACGGCCCGTCCAAAGGCTCCAGCTCCTGCAGAAGTCGTGTTGTCGTCGTGCTTACGGAATGACATCGGCGGAAGGTCTGCCGGATTGCCGAGCAGTTTGTGCTCTCTCCTGTATTTGTACTCGAACTCCTGGGCGTAGTCAGTAAAACGGATTCAGAGTCATGACGCAGATAGAACGTACCCAAAGGCTATCTGCTGCTTGATCGGAAGTGCACAGGTCGCGCAGTTGTCCGAGTATGTAGCACGCCGCCAGCTTGTCTTGATTCAATTTGCATTCTCCCAAGAGGCCGGAGGTTTGATGGCCAGGGTCGAGTTCAGCTTTCATTGCATCGGTACGCCATTGATCGTATCGAGACTGGAATCTTCCAGCCCAGTAAAGCGGCGGCATGTAGTCTTTAACCTGCAAGATCTCATTGTCAGCAACGTTGGACCTCTCTTGCCTATGTCTACTCCGCGAGCGGCTGGAAGAATAGGCCCAGAGGTTTCCAGCGTTGTTTGGTGCTCTGATCGGGACTCTGGTTGGTACTGGGGGGAGCGCCGCCAGATTGAAACTAGATCCGGTGAATTTCATTGATGACACAAGCCCTCGTCCAGGCTGGCAAGGTGTATATGTCGGCGTGACACTCAGTCTTTCTTCATCCGTCTCCTCGGGTATCGATTCGCACGAGCTCGCGTCTGATCTGACCCTGACATGTTGAGACGGGACAGTGCTCTTCGGATTCATGCATACTGACTGGACCAAGTCCGACAAAGACGCTGTCCTGTACTGCTCTGGGATGCGAGGCACTGGTGGAGCGACTTCCATGTGGCTTCCAAAATTATGGAAGGTTTGGGAACGTGGAAGTCTGCTCACCTCATGTGTAGTCATCGCCAAAGCATGGGACGACCGCCAGACGCCGCCCAAACCATTTGGTGTTCCTAGCGTTTTCCTTTGCTTTTCCCTGTCCGTGGGCGGCCGGGGAAGAGCTGGCCTGACACTTTCGCTCGCATCTGGAGCGGGGGTTGGAAGGTCGGTGTTGTGAGGCGGGGCTGCTGCAGAGTTCGATATCGAGGGTGATGCTGCTGGTGTATCTTTTTGTTCCTCCGACTGTATCCGCTTTACTGTCACTGGCGTCTGCTGTGCAAGCTGTGAGCTCATCCTCTTTCTTACTGTGGGTGGAGTCGCGAAGCTAGGCTCCCTGCTCTGTGAATATTGTAGTCCCGGACCAAACGACCTTCTACTGTTCAGAGTACCGGGCACTGCAAGTGATTCCCTCTTCAGCGTCCTCTCTTGTATCTGCGACCGCCTGTGTGATATACGTCTGTCCGTCGGTATGTTCTCTTGCAGAAGCGGCCTTTGAGCTACTGGTGATACCACAGACATCTTAGGTCCTGGCCGCCTGGGAGCCATATATCGCGCCGACTGTGGCCCGTTGGCTGTTTTGACGAGATTTGGCGTCGTACGTGAGCGCAACTGATAGGAATGCTTCACCGGAGAGCCATTGTTGGCGGCCGCCAACGTGTGGGCAGTCGCGATGTGTTTGATCTGTTGAGAAGCGCGGTACGAGACGTGTTGTTGAACGTGTTGACGTGGACTAGAGCGACGGCGCTCTAGGGATGGCGGACTGGGAGTAGGAATCTTCGAAGGCACCGAATCTGGCTCTGATTGAGGCATTACCGCGAGAGAATGGGACTTGACCGCGCCTTCTACGCCTGCGGCGAACGACTGAGGCTCAACCCTAACCGGGAGCGGGATGAAGCTCAGCGTACGCGATCGGGGCAGTGGCTGCGGTGTAGTATCGGTATCTGCGCTCTGGGGTAAAGTCTTGCTAAACAGGATTGTTGCAGATTCTTCGGTCGCATCGTTGGAGTGGTTGGATGGCGCAGAAACACGAATTGGTGAAAGCGCAGCTTCGGATATAGAATTCGTTGTAGTAATGTCGGTTGCAGATGGTTCGGTAACAGCCAATGACGGTACATTCACTTGATGACGTCCCGGGGTCGTCCTTCGCTGCGAGAGGGGATTTGATATGAAAGCGAAGCCATAGCTGAGCTTCCTCCGAAATTTGCTGCTGCTGTTTTCCTGAGGCTCACCGCCCACCGGGAGGTGAGTGCTCGACTTTTCTCTCCAGCCCACCATCGCCGCTGCTCCGTCTTCACTTGGCTGAGCCGTCTCCCAACGCGCGCGAATCTGCTCGAATCTGTGTCGATCTGAATATGTTAGCATGGCTGTAGCGTGGTGTGCAGCGTTTGTGGGGAAGAAAGACTTACCCGCGGAATGTTGTTGTTGTGGATGATGTTGTCCTTAAGGAGGTAAACAAGGAAGGCACGAAGCAGACACCTCGGATTAAGAACAACGTCATGGAACGGAAGATGCAGTCGTGACCAAACGGCAGGAAAGAGCAACTGCAAACGCTCCTGAAGGCTACAATTGTCTGACCCTTGCCGTGGAACGGCCACCGCACTTGACATCATCCACTTATACCTTCTTTCGACCAATACAGAAAAATCTTGGACCTTTAACCAGAACATAAACGAGACAACACGCTAGTGACATAACAAGATAGTGGGTATTCAAACATTGAAAAGCACAAACCTAAGACACCATGCTATGCTATGCAACCATTCCCTTAAACAACACCGAAGATGTTATTATCCGTATTCCTTACTCCGAGTCACTGTCAACGATAAATCCAGCCCTCGTATTACGGGCCGCTGCAGGCCTGCGCGCTATCGGTGCATCGTCGTCATCATCGTCATCCGAATCTGCGTCTGGCATTGCAGCATCGCTGCTCTTCGTCGCAGCATCACTCACTGGCTTCCGGGGCGTGTCCGCCTCACTAAGTGCTGCTGTTGCACCAGCGTTCTGCGATGAAAGTGGCGTATCTGTAGTTTCGTCCTCGTCCTCATCTTCCTCCTCATTGCCATCAACCACGGAAGGAGCTTGGCTGCTCTCTGCATCTTCCATATCGTCGTCACTATCGGCGAATGGCGCTTTCCGTTTCGGTGGACTCTTTCTCCTCTTGCTCTTCTTGGCCGGTGCATCAGCTTTTCGCTTCTTAGATGCTACTGGCTCCACGGTTCCAAGTACAAGCGACTTCTTGAACACTTTCATGTTTTCCTCGCGGATTGCCTGTTCTCGCGCGAAGAAGGCGGCATCCTTCTCAGCGTCCCAGTCCTCGTCGTCTGAGTCATGCACGTACATGGTACTCAATGCTTTGGCCTGCTTCTCGATTTCCTTCTTGCGACGTGCCTCGGCTCTGCGGTCCTTTTCTTCGTCGTCAAGCTCCACGGCACTATTCCTTCGGCGTCGTCGCTTCAGCGTCTTGCGAGGGGCGTCTGCATCTCTCTCAGTGGGACCACCCTTAGCGTACTCTCCGTGGTCCTCTTCCTCGTCGCGGTCTATGCCGTCAGAGTCATCGTCAAACTCGGCCCGACGAGTGGAGCGTCGAGCTGCTGCAGCCTTGCTACGAAGCAAGTCTTCTGGCGCTTTGCCGTCCTCATATGTTGGGGGATCGAACTCATACTTGCGAATGAGATCTATGGCTTCTTGCAATTGCGTTGAAGTAAGTGATGCAGGTATGATCCATGAAGCGTCCGGATCGTGGTGTTCTCCTAATCTCTCGAAGCCGACCAGGTTCATGAGCAGTCGTAGTTTGTTGTCTTTGAACATAGCGACGCGACGTTCTTCGGTATCGTGCTTGATGACTAGACTCGGTTAGCAGACTTCCTCACAGTGATAGGAATACTTACAGATCGATGGCGGCTTCGAGGTTTCAGTATCTGGATTCTCAGGTGCCTCGCCTTCTGGACGCTCCTCTACGTCAGCCACCAACGCCTTTTGTGCTTCAGCTGCCTCTTCCCACGCCTTGCGCTCTTCGGCTGCCGATGTAAGCACATCGCGTACCCAGCGGAGAGCATCCGACTTTGACTGATTAACAAGAACACCAACAGCGACACCAATCTGATCAGGTAGCTCCATTCCAGGTTTGACCTCAAGCTCTGCCGGAGCTCGTGGCGCTCGAGTGTGTATCTCGCGATCATATCCGTGCTCAAGGAAGAAGATGGTTGCAGGGATCTTGTCAAACAGCATCTCGACTACCAGCTCTGGCCTCTCTTGTACTCTCTTTACAACCTGCCTGAAGAAGTGTTTGACAAAATCATCCCACTCTCTGTAAGCTGGCGACTCTGGATCAAGACCACCTGGACCTTTCATCATCTTGTTGAAAAGCGCCAGGATGTCCACTCTGCACAGCAGGACACCAAGCTCCATCTTGAAAGCGACGCGATGGAAGAAGCGATGCGCACGCTTGAGCTGCTCGGTATCGAGGTCGCTGAAGTACTTGGCAAAGGCAACGAACGTGTTAACGCTACTTTGGTTCACGAACTTTGCCGAGAATTTCATGAAATCGAACTTGCGTTCAGAAACCGTCTTTTGGGCTTGTTGGAGGTCTTCAGTCTCAGAAACGTTACCCTCTTCCTCTCCGTCTTCGCCCTGCTTTTCCGCTTTCTTCTTCTTGATCTTTCGGGCTCGTCTTTTCGATCGGATTTGCATGTCAACGTTCTGCTTTGCATAGCGCTCGAGCATCCGCAGAAAGACATGGGAAAGCTCTGTGACTGCATCAAGGTAGCCAAAGCCTTGATCTTTGTATGACCTTAGGATCATGACTATCCTGTCGTGTGTTGACTCTTCGTAGAAGATGCGGTTCTGAATGTTCTCGGCAATCTCTTGGTCTTCCTCAAGACCCGACTCGGACATCTCATGCACGGTAAGCAAAATTTGGGTGAAGCACTTCAGCCCGGCGTTGAGGTCTCGCCATGCCTTCTCATCTTGACTCTTCTGCATGAAGCGGTTGAGTAGAATGAAGGTCTCCTGATTCATGACTTCGGCTACTAGTCCATAGCTCTCATCCTCAGCAGACAGAACTTCAGGACTCTTAGGGTCTGCGGCCCTCTCCTTCATCGTTCGCCGCCGTGCGCACTCTGCTCGTAGGAACCACGATACGAGGTAGAAGAACTGCCTAGAGTGTCGTGTTTCCACACGCTCCGTTTCGCGCTCGATAGCTTTCCGCAGATGCAAGAACAGAGGGTTGAAGGACGAATCCAGGAACTCCTCGACGAACGCTTTGATGTGTTTCCGCGCAGAAGAGGTCAGTGGTACCGGGAGATCGAACTCCTCCCTTTCTTCATCGCCGACTTGCTTCTTCCCGGGACGACGGGGTTTATTCCACTTCTTTGTATCATCCATCTTCTGCATGCTAGCCTGAGCCTTCCCTAGCACGTCCTGCCCGGATATAGTTGTGACCTTCTCGTCGTCCCGCTTCATCCAGATCATCGTTCCGAATCGGTTATGCCGGGTTGGTGCGTTGCGGGCGTAGCCTGCAAGCATGGCCTTTTCTTTCTGGATCAAGCCCTTAAGCTCGTCCGTGTTCTTGATGTTGAGCTTCTTGTCTTCCATGAACAACTTCTCAGCATCGATGCCCTTGAGGAGGAAGAACAAGATTTCGAGAATAACAACATCCTGGGTGACAAAGTCCTCCCCGATACTAGACGCTATACTCAGAATCACCTGAAATATGTCCTGCTCGTGGAAAGTATCAATCGTTGCAGATCGGGAGACTTCAGCTTCGTCGGTGTCCATGTGTGCATTGTTCGGGGGTGCGAGCATGGCGATGTTGCGTATGAAGTATAGTGCGATTCGAATGATGCCCTCATCTCGTGGTGTGCGTTCTCGGAGGGGTACGGCCATAGAAGGGAGCGCGATCTTGACGGCAGTCTGCAGGGTTCTGTCTCGGTCGAATTGCAGAATAGCACGTTTGTAGCCAATTTGGGCGAGCCCGATATAAGGCCCATGTCGGTGGTGGTTTACGGTCGCTTCGGTGGGGTCGATCTCGTTAGGCCAAGTCAAAGGCACGAGAAGTTCCACTGCGGTTGTCAGTACAGTCTCAATATTCGGAGTATACTTTCTCACATGTCGCAACCGCAATCTTGTGCTTCCAGGCGCTTTCCATGACAGTTGGTGATATCTTGGCCAGTATCTCAAGCAAGTCGCCCTTTACGAGGTTTGCTTCGGCCATGCATCGTGCTACATCGCGTCGATTGTACTGCCCGTCGGCGAACTTCAGCCATTTCCGTAGGTCCTTGAGACAGAGCAGGGCGTCGTGTCCGAGTGCATACGTGCCGTCATCGCCAATACCACCGAGCTGATTGTATGTCAGTAGCCATTGTGTCAGTGGAAGGGGATACGTACAGCAGATATTAGACTAGAGACGTGAGCGCGAACTTCCGGGTTCACAGTATCCTGCGCCCAGTCATCCAGCGTTGTCTGAGCCATTGTCGTGGTTGATGCTCAGATTGCCCGCCGGTGTCGCGATGGCCCAAAAGACGCGTCGACGCGTAAAGTGCCACAAGCGGGACAAACCGCGCAAATCCGCCAAGACAGGGCTGATCCTCGCGCCTTCCCGCCGCCAGTCAACGTCATGCCTCGGCTAGCCCGCCGCGGTTCTCATCGGCCTGGGGAAATGTCGTTCTTCATCACATGTTTGATCGCGCATCTTTCACAATTCGTGCAATCCTTCGATTAAATACACACGATGTTTTCCGTAGCCTCAAAACAAGTCGCTCGTTGCGCTGTACGGCAGCAATGCCGTGCCTTCAGCTCGACTCCCTCTGTCGGTGCTGCCGCTGAGGTCAAGAAGCTGGGTGTTATTGGAGCAGGCCAGATGGTATGCATCAATGCACCAACCCGACAGGTGTCAATCTAACATGATCAGGGCCTCGGAATAGCTCTTGTAGCAGCACAGAGGGCCTCAGTACCGGTCCGGCTGATTGACAACTCCCAAGCATCAATCGACAAAGGCCTGAAATTTGCGGACAAGCTCCTCGAAAAGGATGTTGGAAAGGGCAGAATCTCGAAAGATGACGCCGCAGCGGCAAGAGAGCGATTGACTTCCAGCACATCAATGGACGATCTGTCAGACGTCGACTTCGTTATCGAGGCCGTACCAGAGATCCCAGACCTCAAACACAAGATCTTTTCGCAACTCGCGCAAATCTGCCCGTCACACGCTATCCTAGCTACCAACACCTCGTCCATATCGATCACCAAGATTGCGGCGAGCACTACCACCGACCCAACAGATCTCTCGGCTTCATCACGCGTCATCAGCACACACTTTATGAACCCAGTACCCATCCAGAAGGGCGTGGAGATCATCACCGGTCTTCAGACCTCGCAAGCTACCGTCGAAACCGCAATCGCGTTTTGCGAGAAGATGGGAAAGATACCGTCCAAGTCCGCCGACAGCCCCGGTTTCCTTGCAAACCGTATCCTCATGCCGTACATCAACGAGGCTGTCATTTGCCTTGAGACGGGTGTAGGCGCCAAGGAGGACATTGACAGCATCATGAAGAACGGAACGAATGTACCCATGGGTCCACTGCAACTAGCGGACTTCATCGGCATCGACACTTGTCTGGCGATCATGCAGGTCTTGTACCACGACACGGGAGATTCCAAGTACAGGCCCGCAGTGCTGCTCAAGAAGATGGTCGATGCAGGATGGCTAGGAAAGAAGAGTGGTAAAGGATTTTACGATTACTAGAAGAAAGAATATGAAAACGCAGACACTATCGCGCACAATCGTATACCTGTGCTCCGAAATCATGCCCTGCAACCCGTCGCGCCCATGACATAGCCTGAAGGTGCTCTCCATCAAATCTCATGAGCTCTCACACCCCCAACCTTGCTAATTTCATCATGTCATCCTTCGAGAAGTCACCCATATAGTCACCCATATTCGGGATCTCTGTCTTCATCGAAGGTCCGCCGTTAATCCCCATCTCATCCTCATCGTGCGCACCCATCAGCGGTACCGCCGCTCTCGCCAAACACATAAGCTCCCGCTCCATCTCCTCCTCCTCTTCCCTCCCACTACAAACAGCCCAAGTTCCCTTCCCCCACAACTTCTCCTTCAACCAAGCCATCTTCCCCCTCTTCACATCATCCTCCTCCATCTCCGCCTTCAACCCAGTCCCAAACTCCAGCTCGCCCAGCTCCCCTCTCTCTTCATCCTCCATCTCCACGCCACTGAGTCCCAAATCACCCATGTCTTCACACTTGTGGATCAGAGGCGTAACACCTAGTGCCACTGAATCCAGAAAGTGAAAGTGGCGTATCTTATTTCTGGCTTTCTGCGCGCTGGGGAAATAGTAGTTTTTATTGATGGGTGTGCGTAGTTGTGCTCGTGTTCTGAAATGTTGGAAGAAGGGCTTCTTCTTCTGTGTGGCGCTGGTGTTTGGCGGCATCTGTGGGAGTGATTGGGGTGTTGGGAGGTATTGGGTTTTGGCATGGTTTTGCGTGGGTGGGTGAATGGTGAGGCGGCATCCACGCTTGGGCTTCTTTGGCGATGGTGTTTTGGGGGGATGGATGATTAGGCGGCATTTACGTTTGGGCTTCTTGGCTGATGGTGTGGTGGGTGGTGATGCTTCCTCGCCCATTTGAGGAGGCGAGTTTGCGACCATGCGGTCAGGCGAGAGGAAATGCTTCATGATGCTTGATTTTACGGTTTTGTGTTGGTGTTGGATGGTTTAGTTGGGATTCAACTTTCTTTGCGGAATCTTGATGCAGAGGTTTGGTGTGATGGTATGGTCTTTGGAAGTGGACATGGACATAATTTATCTATACCGCTAGCTCGGTATAAAATATGTGAGCGCGCATGGAAACCAAAGTGCACACATGGTAAGCGGAACTAATCATAGCAGTACCATAGTTGCATTGCTGAGATATTACATTTCTTGCCATATACATCCTACATTACTGGCCGAGAACCTCGAAGTGGATACTGACGTACAATAATATCTGGTACCATATTTGCGTCACGTGAATACTACACCTATTTGCTATACACAATTTTTATCACTGGTCACAAATGTCAAAGTGGACCCTCATGTGTAATCAAGTACCATAGTTGCCTTGACTAGTCTACATTTTTCTACCCTAACACTCCGCCAATCAACCCAACCCTGAAAACAATTGCAATACTTCCCAGCCGCAGTCGTCGCAGTCACTGAGCCCAAACGTCGTGCTCCTGAAAACAAATGCCGCAATCCAACCCAATGTCGTAATGTACTCATTAACCGCTCGCCTCGGAGCCCATCACCGCACCCTGACTCATCACACTCCATCCTGCCCAGTGAACTTGCGCTTGAGACTTTTGCGGTCACGAGGTTTTCCATTTGACGAGAAAGCTTCCCTCGCTAATTCTTTGGCGCACGCACTTTCTGTGATCTTCCTGTTTGGCTCCAAAAGTGCGGCAATTCTGACTTGTTCGCGGTGATCGGCTTGTATTTGACTGAATGGCTTTGGCAGCTTTTGTGCGGGTTGAAGTGGGAGAGTTGCCAGTAAAGCGTCGACACGGGCGGACCTGTTGATTGGCGGTCTGATGATGTTGTCTGACGGTGCTGCAGTTCTGTCGGTGTAATGCCTCATAAGCTTATTGTTGTAGGCAGCGTTGATCTCTTTTAGCTGAGGCGGCGGTCTTTGAAGATTTGGTACCCAGCGTTTTGCAGCGGCTTTTCGGAACTTGAGCTTGCGCTCTTCCTCTTTGGAGATGTCTTGCTTAGGGATTTCGAGCTTCAGACGCATTGTAGACTTGTCTGGTGATGATGGTGTTTTCGAAGGGGTCATCAAGCCCGCGCCGCTGTCTCTTCTCGCTTCTGCCGAAGTGCGCTTGAGTGATTGCACTGGCGGCATGTTTGGAACCTAGGGAAAAGCTGAACACCCTGCAGTCTACGTTGACGTTGTGTCACCTACTTTGCACGCTTTTGACTTGATGTAGTCTGCAGACCTGTTCAGTTTTCCCTTTGTCGATTGGTGAGGCGCTGCGGGAGAGGTAAGCGAGTAATGTAAGAACCTCGAGCCTAGACACTGTGAGTAGGATACTAGAAGTCTTGTACCAAATACTTGCGCACACTTACCTTTAATAGGGTTTAGCATGGTGAGGCATTTACAAGATATGAGCGTGGGGTGACTAGCGTTTCGAGTCATCGAGGTGAAGTTTGTAAGCATACTTAGGTACAATGAAGATCTACATCGTGACCACTCGCGACCTATACATCCATGACATGCCGCAGGCTCCCACATAGCGATTGTAGGACATGCTTGTCGTATGCCAATGGAGATATCCTTCACCACTACTCCTCCTCACTCTCATCCTCGTCTCTCACCTTCTCGCAGCCACAAGGCCACAAGTGCGCGACGGCATAGCCAGGGTACTTCTTCGTGAACTCATCATACCAAATTTGCCATGCATCCCATGAATCCTTCGTCTCAAGGTCGATTGTTATCCCCTGGTTCGGCTTTGGATAGTGTGGAAACTGCTCGTAGATCGTGCTGTGGAACTTCTTGAACTCTGACCACTTGAGATAGTCGTCCGGTTCAAATTGATGGCCCACGCCCGTGCGCCGGTCGTTGTCGGCTTGGAAGTCACCTTTACGCCCGTGCTCTCCTTCTTTCAGATACGGGGCGGAAGGAGATTTTTTGGGCTTGGTAGCGCGATGTGGTACTAGGCAGCGTGTTAGCGAGGTGTGCTGTATGGAGCAAGCGGAGTGAACAGCCGAGATAATCTATGTTTGGACCGCCCCGGGAGGTATCCGATGGTTGTGAAAAAGTGCGCGGCGAATGGAACAACCCGCATTGCATCAGGAGTATCCAATGAAAAGTTGTTACTTACTTGTGGTCTCATGGAAGTACGTCTCGCCCTTGCGATAACCTTGGCCAGATGTCGCTGTGAGCACGCGATCCTCATTACGTCCGCGAATGATTATCGAAGAGCGGTCGGGATCCAAAGGATTCATGCCAGTAGTCTGCATGAAAGCATCGTGGCGGGACCCTTTGGCGTTATATACAGATGTTTGCCTTTCCGTTTGCGAAAGCGTTGGTATATTGTAGTCGACTAGGGTGCCTGTGAACTCATCCTCAGCCGAATGTCCGGTATTTGTAGCAGCCGTGTTTGTTAGTGCGTCACGCTTCTGAAGCTTCGTGTGTGGCCGGCCGTCCGGTGGCTCATCAGGTGCGCTTCTCTTCCGGTGACTAAATTGACGGGAGGTACTACTGTCTTTGATCGTAATTGGCGAGTCATATTTTTTGTTGACAGTTGTAGAGGGAGTATTGGCCTGTATCGGTGTTCTCACACTGGAAAACGTCGGGGTGGTGGGGGCCGGGAAGGAGACGGCGTCATCAGCATCATCGGCTTCTTCTTCTTCGTCTGCGACTTAGACTGTCAGTATACCTGCACGCATTAAATAAGATGGGAAAGAAACCTACTAGATAGTGTCGACTTCGGATTGCGTCCAAGAGCAAGTGTCTCCTTCTTTTCGATCCAGTTCGCCAGCCTTGATTTTGCTAGTCCCTCGTCCTTCAGCTCTTGCCTCTTCTCCGCGCCTGCATACTGCTCTACCATGTCAAGTAAGTCGTCCACGCTGTACTTGAGCAGGCCCTTGGATAAGCGAGCGTACGGCCTCCTTTTGTTGCCCAAGCCGTCTTTGTTGTACAGTGGAATCCTCAAGCCGTTCGCCTCGTAGAACCTAGCCCCAGAAGTCCTCGTCGGAGTGGAAGGTGTAGCTGGGGTCGTGCTTTTTGCCCTTGCCCTCGCAGTTGGTACAGTGGTACTCTTCTGCTTTGAAGGACTGCTCGCGTGGGATTCAGGAGCTTTTTTCTTACCCTTTCCTTTGCCTTTCCTCGGCGTAGCCAAACTCATGGCGCGCGCGACTTCGTTGTCGTCGATAATGTTCGTTCGGTCCATGATGTCTCAAAGTTAGATGATAGCTGCAATCCCTGAGGATGTGCGAAAGAGTGGAGGAGATAGAATGAGAAATCAAGCAATGTGAGATTGGTTGAGGGGCGAAAATATCCGTTTGTCTCTAACCCCATTCACAATGAAGTGAAGGCCGCGAATGCACCGCAGAGAAAGCCTGAGCTCTGCACAGTACACGCCTTCACTTTCGAACTGACCAAATACCGCGCGCTCATAGGGCCCCTGAACAACCAATGAGCGAATTTTCACATGAGGGCGCGCGCAGTATTTTAACTGGCCGGGCACGGAAGTGTTGCGCTATGTGGACCATGTGAGCACAGAGCGATTGATAGACGTTACCAAACGGTGATCCTGAAAGCTGGCGAGACTACAAAGAAATCGCGTTGACACAGTGCGACGATTGAAAATACCGAAAATCGAAGTACACACGTCCAAAGTGTGTAGAAATATCCTGAAGCTCGGGTAGCTTGCATGCTCACATGTCGAATGTCAGCCTTGGCTCAGTGTATCGCTACCATGGTTCTCAGTAGCTTGCGTGAGTTTCTCATGCTGTCTGCCACGTTCTCGATGGGACATTACGTCGAAGTATTGACAGAACATGGGATGAGACCACCATTTACCCTCGATCTGTGGTCATGATATGTCTTTTCACCGATACTATATTGGTTCCACCCTCTTGCTGAGTCCAAGTATTGTAGATGCTCTCTGGCGGGCGACGTAATCGGAAATTCTTAAGGAGAAGAGGTAACAAACGATGAAGCGACCGGAACAGGATCCAGTGGCATATGTTAGTGTATGGACTCTGACAATCTCGCTAGAGCGTCTGATGCGTCACCGCAGTACCGTGTTTGTTAGTGGAGGCTGACGATTTGGTGTGGCATGTCCTTTCCGTGGACATACTGCCAATAGTGTAGACGACCAGCATCTCGTGTATTCGTGACCATAGACCAGAGAATGTTGCGACGGAAAGTCATAATCTGAAGTTGGGACGTCTCGCATCGCAGAGTCGAAGTTGGCAAAGAGTTGCGGTCGGCGTGCCACGTGAGACGAGGCGGAACCGACCGCCGATCTAAAGGAGCCGAGGCATACCCGCCTCCAGCTTTCGGATCGTCATTTCGCGACTCTCCAGTTCCATCACCAACTTCAACCTGCGCGTGCTACTGGCATTGCGTATCGTGCAGTCAACATGGTCCGCGAGGATATAATACAGTCGGCGGTGTCTTGTAGGTTGACGCACGACACGCTCTACGCGACGATACTAACAGCCGCCAGTCCTCCAGGACCCGTCCGTTGCCAGCGCGCCCCTTGAGAAGCGCATCGCCTTTCTCCAATCCAAGAACCTCACACAAGAAGAAGTCGATGTCTCACTCGCGCGTGCAGCCGAAGACCCCAGTTATGCCTCATCGCCTCCACCCCAGACATCCGCAGTAGCCAGCAATGCGTACAGACCACCACCGGCAGCCCCGTATGGGAGCTATCCTCCCCAACAATACTGGCAACCGCCCCCGCCGCCTCCGGAGTAAGCATAGAGATTACCTACATCCGGTTTCGATGCTGACAGATACAGACCGCCGAAACGCGACTGGCGCGACTACTTCATCATGGCAACGGTCATGGGCGGTGTAGGATACGGCCTCTACTTCACAGCGAAACGATACGTCCTACCCCTGATACAACCACCTACGCAGCCTCAGCTAGAGCAAGACAAAGCTTCAGTCGACGAATCCTTCAAGCGCGCGTTCGATCTCCTCGAGCAACTCAACACCGACACAACCGCTCTCAAGGCATCGGAAGAGGCACGGACAACAAGACTGGATGACGCGCTTGGTGAGGTGGAGAGCGTCCTGACGAGCCTCAAGGAGTCGTCGAAGAGACAGGGAGACGACAACAGACGTATCGAGGATGACGTCCGCGGCTTGAGGGACTTGATCCCGAAGGCATTGGACTCACAGAAGGAGTCCACCGACAAGAGGCTGCAGGAGCTGTCAACTGAGCTGAAGAGCCTGAAGACGTTGATTGGCAACAGGATGAGCTCTCCGGCACCACCACGCCCACAGAGCACCTCGGGCTACTACGGACAAGCGCAGTCGCAGTCGCAGACACCCAACACAAACGGCACACCCGCTGCTTCGGCATCGACACCACAGCCGTCCTCTACTCCTGCGCCCAGTGAGCAGACCAACGGCACGAGCGCTACCGAGACCCAAACAAATGGTAGCGCAACGCCCGCGCCCGCTCCCAGCCCTGCCACCGAGAAGCCTCTCCCTGCGTACGGTAGGCCCTCGCCGGGACGCGCCGCTATCCCAGCATGGCAAATGGCTGCCGCAAAGAAGACCGAGGAGGCGAAGAAGGACACGAGCGAGAGCGGAACTGCGGTCGATGCCGGCGCCAGTGCGTAGAATGATCGTAGCTGTATTATCTGACAAACGTTGTGCATCTTTGGCGTAGTCATTCTGCTATGTATTATTTGGATAGGGACAAACTCATGCTTACGCTTTGAAAATTATCATCTCTGTCGACTGCAATGTGACGCCTTGGAAATGCTACGTCCTATTTGCGAGGAAGATTTATCCTGCAATAGGCTAGGGTTCTGCGTATATTCACCCTGGAGCATGACTGCGCATGCACACAATATCAGCGCCCTAGTCATCACTAAAAGAGAATGCATGTGCATCTCAAATGCGATGATGCGGTTGCTCAATCGCTCGTATCCCTACCCCTAACGCAGGCTAAGTCGCTTCCGGGCCAACGTGATGTCGTGACGTCGCAATGCCGCGTTTCGCGTCAATGCTCCCACCTAACGTCGACCAGCCATCTCAAAACAAACTTCCAGCCTCCAGCGTCATCGACATCGCACAGAAACCGATATCTCATGCACGATCGATCTCGCCAATCTGTAGCTCAGACAAGAGGCTCCACACTCCCCTGACGCTACGCTTGTGTTGACGTCGACTGTCACCCTCTTTCGGCTGCAGGTGCGATGCTAGCTCTGGATCTATGGGCTATCGTGCTGTCCCTTGCATGACGGGTGTCCAGTCCCTGTAGCTTTGTGGAGGCATGACGCAGTCTAGGGAACGTTCTGACAGACAATATTGACGTCTGCGTAGCTTCGCATAGCATCAATCGCATCGTAGAAACACTGGCCCACTGTCAGTCATGGAGAAAGAGAAGGAATTGTGAAGGGCTGCATTGCATTCGTTGCATTGGCCCGCAGCAACACCACCGCAGTATGACGCGGCGACTCTCACGTCTGCTAGTCATTGCAACGCATACCTCCGACAAGCGCAATCAGCTCCCGCCTCTAGGAAGGGACCCGCTTCCCGGATCGCCATATGCCTATCCCCTTTCCAGTGCACATCAATCCCATGCTGGTATGGCGCTCTGTGGAGTCTGTGGAGGTCAGTATGGCATTCTGGACTATGCGGTCATAACTGTGATCGCGGTATGGGATCTAGATCGCGGCCCTGCCTCCCTATTGTTTCGAACACCTTGTTGCATCAGAGGCTTGAGAGGACATGGCCTACACCATGACGTAGCATCTCTGTTCACATCGTCTACATAAGGAGGTAATCCCATCTCCTTTCTTCTACATCAACACATCATCACATCTCAATCAACTACTCTCGTCTTCAATACTTCCACCACTACATCCACTCCCCAAACCAACAACATCAACACTACCATCATGAGCTCCAGCGAGATCCCCAACGGCAACGCCATGGACAACGACTACAAGTCCCGTACCGGCCAGACCGAGATCCCCGTTCAGAACGATGAGGCGCCTGTTGAGGCGACCGAGTACACCAACGGTGGTGACTCTGACGCTCAGCTCGGTATGTACATCAACCGTCATAGTCGACACAATACTGACATGATCTAGAACGTGATGAGAAGGATGCTATCGACAAGAGCAACATCCTTGACGAGCGCACACGTGGTGCGACCAAAAAGTCGGGCACCTACACCGAGCCCGGTGACGAGGAGGGTCTTGGTGCTGCTGCTGACGGCTCTGACGGTACCTCTGCTACCCGATAGAATGTCATACCCCATACGAGAAAGAGGAGGAAGTTAATGGCGTGTCTTCATCAATTTGATATCCCATTTATTTGAACCAATTTTTCATTTCCATGCTTGTGTAGTCCATCTTTATTATCCTCTTTCCGGACGCTGTTCAATGGCTACGATTAGCAACTGACATCTGCAAGGAGCGTTGAATATCGTGCGAATATCTCCCATCATAGGCGTACTTTAACGAGCTATGCAAGATGATATTTCAGCATGCTGGTCATTGAGTATTGAACCTTTCCTCATCTTTCGCGCCTGCCTATTCTGGATATCTGACCAGCAACGTGTTGATCCTTGCAAGCAACTTTCTTTACTAATGTTGTATCTCGAGATGCCTTCTCCTGCTATACCCGACCGACCCAATCAAAATGTTCGCTTTCACTTTCACCACCTCACACGCAGGGTCTTCCCGCATGGTCTTAGCTCAGCTGCCGTTTGCTGTGGGTTCATACGTGGATCAAAAGTGACTTGCGATCACCACCAAACTGCCTGATGGTCATAAAGGAATAACCTTGTGACATACCCGCGCTACTTCCGTGACTTGGTGCTGTCGCTTTCTCAATCTGCATCTGCGATTGTCGCGACGCTGTTGTGACATCACGTAACAACCCACCGCCAACGCACACGGTTACCCGTTTGAGCAGGCGCAACGATGGCGGGAAGAGGAAATGCAAAGACTATCGCGAATGGTAAGTTCCTAAGTTCCGTTGAGCGAGTATGATGTAGCGATCGCTAGTTCCTGAAGTAGTCACCAAGCTTGGTCGAACCCGCTTACAGCACAAGATCTCTATACTAATCGTATTCTAGAGCGCGCAGCCCGAATCAAAGCCACCAAACAGCGCGTCTTCATCTCCGGTCTAAAGGGCGATCACACGCTCGAAACTGGCGTTGCATACCACTACCGAGGCCACTTCATCTACGCCTATCCCGTCGGTAACCCGATCGAGCCAGTGCCCTTCTCGACCAAAAAGGGCATCAACATCGTAGGGGTCGTTACAGATCAAGCGCCGCTCTACGATTCCAAGAAACCAGATCTCGTTCTTGAAAGCACTGTTGCTGCTTTACAGAGGTCTTGTGTTCACGAGTGGGAATGGCAGAAGGAGCAGGAGGAGACCAAGAAGCAAGAAACGAAGAAGACGCTGGAAGAGGAGAAGGCTGGAGAAAGGAAGAAGGAAAGCAAGATCGAGACTGAGACTGTAAAAGGCAGCGCAAAGGACATTGATGCTGCTGTAACCCCCAAGGCAAGCGCGCAGGAACCGTTACCCAGTCAGGCTCCTTCACGTGTCCCGTCCTTCACGACACTGCTAGTACCCTCACAAGTATCTTCGAAACTCGGCTCCCGATCGAATTCTCGCTCTCGACCAGCACCACCTCACCGTACCTCATCCTCCTCAACCAACGTCCCACGCATCGGCACCGTCGAAGCTCCTCCCACCACCAGCGACTCTCCACAAAGCTTCTTCCCAGCAACAAGCTACACACCGCACGACCGAGGCCACTACCTCGCCTACTCAGCGCCCGGCTCCCGCAACGCCTCGGTAGACAACACACCCTTCGTCTCACGCCCCGTATCGCCAACCCACCAGCATGGTCTCAGCGTCCGCAGTGGTCAAGGCCTTACCTCACTCCGACCCATAGCAAGCACCTCACGTTTGAACCAGCTACTAGCCGCAGAAGGGATCCGGCGATCATTGAGCCCCCTCGCAGATGTTACCGAAGCTGGAACTGGTGCTGCGCCTTACCACGCTCCACAATGGCAAGAAGAAGATATGGTAGCCAACCTCTCCGTCTCACAGGGCTGGATGGATCCCTCCGATATTTCCGCTTTCGTAGAAACTGTTTCTCGTCGGCCTACTCCTTCGCCATCTAGGCTCTCGTCACGCTCGCACACGCCGTCTAGGTTTCGGAGTTGCAGTCCACGGGATATTTCGCCTGATGAGGGTGGTGGAAGTGGTTTGTATCTTCATGGTCTGGGTCATCCGGATGTGATTCGCGAGTCAAGGGCTCAGACGAGGGAGAATAGTCCGTTCCGTGCACCTGACTATCGGTCGAAAGAGAGTGCGGTGTATTTGAGGGGGTTGTCGCAGAGGGATTATGAGACGGGTGATACGGGGTATGAGTTGAATGCTTCTGCTAGACAGGAGAGTGATGTACATCCTGCGAGCAGTGTTCAGTCATCGAGGGCGCAGACTCCTATCGGACAGACACCCGTCGGTCTACGTGGAGGCTCAGGTCAGCAGCGCGACACCACACTGGCATTCACGTTCCCACCGGCCCGTGCACCAGATACATCTTCTTTCCCCGCGTTCATCGACCCCGTCCCTTCTCCCGGCTACATTGTCCAGGCCGAGAAGAAGCCTATAAACACCGGTCGACCACGCGCCGCCTCAAAAGCTCTAAATGAAGCCTACAATGCCGCGAACCCATCTTCAACACCCCGACCTATCTTCTCGTTCCCCTCGCCTGACGAGCAGACGGAAGGCAACGATACCAACGTTGATGCCGATACCGCGAACGCCGCGTTCACCGCCCGTTGTCCAATCCACTCCGAGTCGTGCAACGGTCAGGATGTAGTACATACATACATAACAGAGCGTGCTAGGAACGGCGCTGGGTTCAAAGATTTGTTTCCGACGATTGAGTGTGAGGATGGGAGGGTGATGGTGGATTGGGCGAGGATGAAGGATGAGGAGATGAAGAAGTTGAGGGCGTGATCGAAGTTGACTCCGGAGTTGAGTCGACTCAAGACGGGTACGTTGAAGTGGCGAGGGAACGGGATGATGTGGTAATGGAATGGAACACATGTGGAAGGGAAAACACATTGTACGATACATACACAGACACACAAGCGAGATGAAAACTGGATAAGTAGCAGGTCATGTACCGACCTCAATTCAGTATAGAAATACAGCAAAGAAACAGACACCGACAACATGAGGAGACAAAGAACAACCGTTGTGATACCAATCCAAACAAACGGCCTGCTGAAACTTTTCCTTCCTCATAAACACGACGCTCTCCTGGGTATCTCTACTGTTTCAACAATACACTCCCCCGGGACACCCCGCTAACGCCTCGATACGGACTGACTAGATTGTTCGGTAACGCGTGCTGCTTTTCGTGTGCGGCGAGTTTACTCATCGGCTGCGACAGCCTTCTTGCGGCCCCTATGCACAATTAGTCATGAACATGTTGTTGTTTCGTTAGATCAAACGCACCTCTTCTGGGGGACCTTCTTAGGCGCGGGAGCTTCCTCCTCGACGTCACTACCGGCCTCAGGCTCGACTTTGGCGGCTGCCACCTTCTTGCCTCGGGCTTTCTTGGGTGCCGGGGCATCCTCAGCCATATCCTCGTCTTCGTCTACCGGCTCTTGCTTGGGCGCAGCCTTCTTGCCGCGGGCCTTCTTGGGGGCAGGGGCCTCGTCTTCGCTGTCGTTGTACTTGGGTGCGTTCTTGGTCCTGCCGCTGGCACGAGCCTTCTTGGCCGGAGGAGCGGCCTCTTCCTCACCGCCGTCTTCTTCCTCGGCGACCTCTTTCTTGGCTGGCCGACCACGCTTCTTCGGGGCGGGAGCTGGCGCATCCTCCTCCTCTTCATCCTTGACCTTCTTGGCTTTGGGACCGCGCTTCTTTGGGGCTGGCGCAGGCGCGTCCTCTTCGTCTTCGTCTTTTACGGCGTTCTTCTTGCCCTTGGCTGCGGGCTTCTTCTTAGGTTTCTCGTCCGCTTCATCGCCGTCCTCGTCGTCAGCCTTCTTGGCTTTCTTCGCTCGAGGCTTCTTAGCGCCTGGTCGGTTATATTCAACATCCTCGGGCTGATGATGTCAGTAAAGCTGAATCTGAGTATTTCGTTGAGATGGTGTGAAGATACTTACATGCGTGCAGTCTGCATCTGGGATGTGGCCGTTCTCTAGCGCGAACTTGACCGACTCCTGGAACTCCGCAGGCAACTCGTCGTAGCCGTCGACCATGTCAGTGTCGCCTCCAGACACCTCGATCAAGTTCTCGATCTGCTTGGGGGTAACGCATCCCCTGGGCAAATTAGTAAATTTCCTGGAAGACAGATAATGGCAGACCCTACCAATGACGGTATTGCCAGCTGACATGCTCATGGATGGTGACCTGAACCGCAAAGCGGAACTGGCCCTTTGTGATCTTTGAGCCAGCTTCTTTGCATTCCTTGACTTGACAGCCGGCGCGGTTGTTAGGGGAGACCTCTGATATATGGTTAGTGTCGTCCTGATTGGCGTAAAATAGTATGTCTTTCATGACATCGGTAGATGGTTGGCTGCATAGGACTTGGGTTCATTCAGTACTTACCGACGCGATAGACACCCATAGTCGCGGTATGTCAGTGTGCTGTGTGGTTGGTAGAGGTTGAGCTGCAATAATTTGCGAACACGCGCGGGAGTGTTCTCTTATGTATGCGAACGTCTTAGGCTGCGACGGTCAATGTGTCCAGTCTTGGTTCAACTGCTGGAAATGTCGCGAAATGTTTGCGCGGGTCGACGCGTGAGGTCACTGGGGGGGCGCTAGTGGCAGGCAGCCTGGAGCTCGGGCGCTGATCCCTGTCCGTCACTTTAGCGCGTCTCGGATCTGGAGAGTGCAGTTCGTCATGATCCCAGTCAGAAAAAGTCAAGACATGCCGCTGGCACGAGCATTCACCTTCACCCCTCGCCCGCCACCCCTCAATGAGCGCTGCGCATACATGTTTTCGCAGCGCCCTCTCACAGGCTTTCCGTCCGAACCCTCGTGGAATCGCTGCCCCCTGTTCCGTCGCCGCCTTCCTCGTTCCCGCCCTCGGTAGACGCCCCAAGCGCACCTTCACATCTGGGAAACGCCGCCCCGCAGACGCTCACTCACAAACTCAGCTTTCGACGCAAGATGGAGAAGATGTGATTGTCCCAGTATATCCGCCCAAGCCCAAGGAACGCATCCACTCATGCATACCCTACCCACCTCGAGAGGTCCGTGATGATGTCAACACATGGCTTGCTGCCATTGAGCCATTCCTCCCGAACTACCTGCGGCAAGAAACCGATGAGAAGCCGGAAAAGCCGATAACGTCACTCGACCTTGCCCTTTTCATCAACAAGGCCCAGGATGCCTCTGTGGACATTCTGAGCCACCTTGGTCTGGAGGCGGGGAAATGGCCAACGGTCATCTGGATGGTTAGGAAGCTCACGGAGGACGGGAAACGCTCGGACGACCTCACTGAACATCTCGAGCAGTATGCAAATGCTGTGTTACAAGGAGAAGAGCACCGGCCTCTGAAAGAGCTGACTGAAAGTCCCCTGCGCCTCCAACGAACCTTTCCGAATCGCAAGCTGCAGCGTACCCTGGATGCTGTAACATCCGCTCCAGAGTCGATCCGATATCCGCATGTTCCTATTAAGCGAGCCCTTGGACAGCTGTGGAGGAGCCTAGGGCACATGATATTGTCAGCTGCGGAGCAAGACCGTGGCGGGCAGGAGACTGTCATGCCGCGTGTCTTGGAGATGATTGCATACCTGCACCATCTGGGTTTCATGCCTGACTCAGTCTACACATATCGAAATCCCCTGGACAAGCATGCACTTCAACAACCTCCGACCCTTCACATGCTTTCGACCAAGATCTTGACAGCCCTGTCTGACGCCACCTGGAATGCTCACGAAGCTTCCGTCAAGACTGCCAAGAATCGCGCAAATGCCCACTACTTCCTCGGCCATGAGATACCTGGATCCCGTTACAAGGTTCAGGTCACAGAGGTGGCTCCGGAGCTATGGCTAGAGCTTTGTTTGTGGTCGTGTTTACACGGGGGTTGGACACTCGATGGTGCTTATATCCTGGAGAAGATGGCAGCCAAACAAGGGGACCACAGCTGGGCGCTTATCAGCTGGAGGGAGATCATGGAAGCAGAGCAACAGAAAACACCAGCACCACCAAGTCCGTGGAACTTGGTTCCGATGAGCGGGAATGCTTTGCCACGTGCAGAAGACCGCGCCCGAACCCGAAGGACGATAAGCAGCGAAGTCGTTACGGCTTTTGTCGATGGGCTCGTCAACCATATGCGACTGGGAGTCGGAGCTCGTGGTGCTACACCAGAGAGCCTAGTAGCCTCTATCAAGACCTTGAAGGACTTCTTAGATAGGAACAACCTGAGTCTCGGTTCCTCAGCTTGGGATTCCATCATGGTCCGGCTCATCGAGTCCGGCGGCTTCGTACCAGAGAAGCGACCCGAGCTGCTCTTGCGCATCTTCGAGCTGGCTCCAGGGTTCGGCACTGAGGTGGGCGCTGCCAACGCATCTGCTTCTTCAAGTACCGAGGTACCCTACTTCTTTGAGCCAACCACTATTCCACTCAGCATGTTGCACCGGGCCATGCGTGCTTTCATCAATAACGGTGACATCCAGGGAGCATTGACGACATTGTCCATGCTTCAACAACATACAGATGACAATAAACAAAAGTCTGTACAGGAGTTCTTCGAAATTCTTCGAAATAGTCCGCAGTTACGACAAGACGAGCCGTTCACAAGCCATCTTCCGCCGGTTGAATTCCCAGCTTTCGAGAACAAGATTCCCATACCTCTCCTCGCGCGGTTGCTGGATCTGGTTACCGAGTCGAAAATGTACGACGTGGGCCGTTGGTTGCTGTTTTCCGATGATCTGGACGGTCCCATTATCGGTCGCGAGTTGCACAGTCATCGCAGCATGTCCGCATCCGTTGTTCGCTTTGGCACAATGGCTGGAGAGAACGATCTCGTCTTGGATGTGATCAAAAGCGCTGGAACTTGGAACGAGAAGCACCAGCAGCAGCGTATGCCGGCTGAAATCTTGATAGCCTTGCTATGTTCTCAGATCAAACTTCAGAACTGGGAAACCATCAGAGGCATGCAAAAGTATGTGGAAGAGGCATCTACGTTCAGGCCGCGACCTATCATCATCTCAAGCTTTGTTGCAGAACTTCTTCGAACCTCAAATGGTCCCCGCGAAGCAAAGACACGTGCTCAGAACTGCTTCACTGGACTGCTCTTTGCATGGGAACAGATGATACTCAGCAACATCCGCGAGGAATTATACTGCACACTGTCCATACTATCAACGGTAGATGATGAGTGGAAGGATTACTGCGCGCGGTTCCTCTCATTCTCATCCCGTCAAGCGGTCAATCTTTCCACAGATGACTTCAACCGCGTACTAAGCGGTGTGCTCGACGGATACGGCAGTGCCAAGGGCAAAGAGATCGTCGAGATATGGTGTCACCAGTCACGCGAAGTTTTTTCGCCCTACAGAGCGCCTGGTGGATTACCCACAATGCCACGATATCGCGTCACCAAGAGCAAAGAATACGAAGATCGCCCAGAAGACATTGAGATTGTCCAGGATGGTGGCGCCACGCTCATCCTACAGGGGCGAATCCACCCTAACCGACAGACGATCTGGGCCATCATTCGGAAGGTCCAAAACGAGGTGGAGCTCGAGGAAGGACGTGGCAAGGGGTTATCAAAGGCCACGCGTGCAGAACTGCACGATACGCTCAGATGGGCTGCGCAGATGCTCTACAATCTGGGCTTCGATCACGAAGATATCATTCGTGGTCTAGGCAATCTCGCACCGCTTGCCAAGCTTGAGGCTCCTGCCTCGCCTAGAGATATCTTCAACATCGAAGGCGCCGAGCCGGCACTGGGAGAGAACACGTGAGCTGCTTACTGCCGCATTGTCCAATCGCAACTGCACCGTAACCGGCTCACTTGTCCTTCCAGGGACAGAGAGCAGCTAAACGTTTAAAGTCCGCTATTTCGGCCACTTGCATATAGCCTACCGGACTCTTGTACATACATACATTTGCGTAATGCTACCTCGAAGAAGAAAGGGCCCGAAGACGATGACATCTGAAAGTATGGGGACCCCTTGTCGATTTACCCCGTTGAAGAAAGTGAAGATATGCTGCGCGTGATCCAGATTTTCCGACCACAAACCCTGAATGTGTTCGTCGCTTCTAGGCTCCACCGGTACTCCACCCTGTACCAAGCAGAGCCATGTCAACGGCGGCTCGGCCAGACCGACCTTTGGGCATCTGCTGGTTTGACCGACAACGTTGCAGTCAACAACCCAACAAAAGGAATTGTTGTCTTTTGATAACGGGCCTCTCTGCATCTACGAAAATCGACTAGATGGTGTGCAGCTGCAATAGCTAGCCTCCGGGGTATACTTGGGTGGTTAGACCAATGAAAAACCTGCTTTGCATGTATGTACTCCGTATGTAGGCGTCCGCGGGCCAATAAGGAGCGCCCGACAGCCAATAGAAGTATATGCACATATGACATGTTGAAGATCGTGCAGTAAGCTTGAGAAAGAAACTCTAGGGTGGGTGGGGGAGGCAGCCGGGAGGAGGTGTGGAGGCGGTGGAAGTCTCTTCTCTACACGTCTTCTGTATTCGAGCGTAAGCTCACAGTAGAACTTGGGCGTACCCAAGTATGTACATGAAGTTTGGGATCTTATGTAATGGTCGTAATTATTGTCGGCCGCAACAACACGGCGCACTTTTGACACCTTCAAAGTTCGGATATACGTGGATGCCTGCCAACAAGATGCTTCCTCTTCAGGTACATGTGCGGACGCCCGATAGCCAATGAAGAGCATATGCACATGTGACTTGTCGAAGATCTGGGTATTGAATCCTAGCTCCGGGCTCGAAGAAACTCGACCCAACCGGAACGCAGTGGATCGGCCCACCAATGCACCCCGAGCAAGGTAAAGCTCAGCCTCACAAAAAAAAGTTGACGCAAAAGTTGACGCAAGGTGTCCAAAACAAACAAAGCGGTTCAGCGGAGAAGGCTCCATAGTCATTGCACGGAAGAGGAAGATCAGAGCAAGCCCTGGAGGTGATTAATTCACATGTGCGATACACAGACGAGTGTCTCAGGGACAGACACCTGCATTGTGACAAGCAGGAGCGGCCCGCAAGTTGCTGTACCTTTACTGTTTGAGGCGCCGGCTACGTTTGCACCTCTTCACCGCTTCTTTGCCAGCGGGCGCCAACGTCAATACCAGCCCAGTGCGTATCGATATGGGTGCATCTGGAGGGGCACAATGCCGGGCGACGTCAAGCGTACTCCAGTTTTGGCAGATCACGATCGCATCGCGAGGTCGGGGTCGCGTAGGCGCAAATTTCGAGTTGATGGGTTTGCTAGGGCGGATATTAAAGATGACGATGTAAGGAGAAGACGGACAGCGGTAATCTACTCTCTGCGTCGTGCTGTTCGTCGCAGCATGTGCAAACCCGGGGCCTGCGTCTTACAGCCAACCAATAGGCTGAAGCCGTTACCGTGTATTAGCCCCGTGTTGCCTCATCGCTGCACGCACTGCGCACGTCCAAGTTAGTTTCAGTGGGGTTAGTTCGGCGAGAAACCAAAATTTCCTGGTGAGGGGCACGCGACAGGCGTTGGAGGACTGCGCTGGAGAGGCAATTGAAGAAGAAATTACGAGATACGTTGCGCTAGGTGTATAGAGCACCATGTCTTTGGCTGACTTGCATGTCGCATCGGGGCCGTTCATTGGTGCTGGATATGGAGTCATCGCTGCGCGAGGAACTAGACGCTCGGACTACAATTCTACGCTAGTGCCGAACTAAAACTTATCAACATATTCTCTCACTCGCCCGCATTCTCTCTCCACACCAGCCCAAAGACGTTCAAGTCACACAGAAACATACCAGAAACACACAATAACCACATCCATACCCCTAACATCGTCGAGACAATGCCGCAGGCACTCGCTGAGCTCTAAACTCCTGGTGCAGCCCGCCCATGGGCTGCATCAGCCCGACAGCTCACGGAATTTCAACCTCTACGACGATACCAATACTACGACTGCGTGCAGTATCCCCTGCACAATCTCGTCTCAACCAATTGGCAATCGTCTGGCCTGCGCCGCAAAACACCGTCATTGTCATTACTACTTGCTCAACGCTTGAAGATCGACGAAACACCAAGGGCTCAGCATAGTTCGCCAGCCCTTCCCCTCAGTACACCAAAGATCCAGCCGACGAACGCTATCACCCCTCACGATTCCATATTCCGACCGGCCACTCACTCCGACACCACCCCGACTTGTAACCATCACCCGCGACCCTTCACCACGCCTCCATCACTACAAAGACGAACTTCAAAGACATAACCGACCATGGCTCACCATACGCACGTTCGGTCGCCTATCCTCGGTGGACATAACAACCAAGACCGCAAACTCGTACACGAGACCACTACAAACACCAACGGCAGTGACCAGCGCTCTGCCTCGCCAGACACCGTCGTAGGCAGCACACCCCGTACTCAAGGACGTGGCGGTGACCAGTCGGCTACCGAAGGTGCCGCGGAGGAAGACGACGAAGAGGACAGTAGCACTGCCAAAGACATCGAGCTTGACGACGAGACGGATGCGGATGTACCGGCCATGCCCTACAGCTATCGTAGGGGAGGCAAGGGCAAGGGAAAGCGCCCTTCTATCCGCGTCGAGCCTGCAGATGACGACGAGTCTCACGCCGAAGACGACGAGAACGAGACAGTGCTCATGCCCAACAAGCACCCGGTAAACCAGCTACTAATGAGTAACAAGAAGCGCACCTTTAGCAATCTCTCAAGCACGTCAGTGCTGTTTGGTGACGATTCCACAGACCAAGAGTCGTTTCCCCGCCGCAAGCTGGCTAGGAAACTAAGCGCCGCCTCTAGCATACCGCTGTTAACCTACAAAGAGGACGACGAACCCCAAGTAAGCTATGAAAACGCTATTGAGAGCGACGATGAAGACTACAGCGGCGTCAATCTCGTCCCTGACGATGACGAGTCCGACATGGAGATGATGGAGCAACAAGAAGAGAGCTACATCCTCCAAGAGGAGCAACAAGCTACTACCCTTCTCAATGAGTATCGTGATGCTCGACGACTCAGTCTTGAGAGTTGTTTGAGCGACAACATCTTCGATGTCACTGTCCCATTAGACGATACTTTCATGGCAAGTCTTCCCGACTATGGGTTCACTCCCTTCTTCGAGCCAGATGCTCTCCCTGCATCGCCTGTTCCTATGGCCAAGAGAAAGTTCTCAGACGGCTCAGCCAAGCGCGTCCGCTTTGACGATGACGTTCAAGTATCAGATAGTTCCAGTTCGGAATCTTCAGAGCTCGACAGCAGTGTCTTCCCTGATCTCTTCATGGATCAAGATAAGATTCCTCCCAGTTTGCATCAACTTCTTGAGATGGACTACGATGATGACAACGGAGACATGGCTTCTCCGCAGTCCGACGCCTCGTTCTGGGACTTCGAGCAGGGCGAGTCGCGCATCACTCAAGTCGATAACTCGGAAGAATCCGATGGCGAGTCATCTGGCGAATCCAGTGGCTATGAGTGTATGGTAGTGCCCTATAATTGCTTTTACTCAATGACTAACGTTTCTCATCAGCTGACATTGGTGACACCACTGACGAAGAAGACTTTGGTACCGACATACTACCACGCACGCCTAAGCACTCTGTTCTACAGCGACCGGCCTCAGCACCGGGCTCACGCGCTGCAACACCTAAGCCGTTTCAACGAAGCTCTCGTCCGATTGGCCGCCAAATTCCGCCAACTCGCGGCGTCTTCATTCACGACGAGTCTGACCAAGCCATTGCTGTCACTAACAGGTCGACCAAGGCTGTTGCATTCTACCGTCCACGCACGGTAATGATTCCGTGGATTCCCATGACCGATTACCAGAGTAGTACGAGCGGTACTGTCAACAACAGTCCTCGGAACTCCATTGCTCAACTCAACGCCTCCGACAGCGAGAACAGCAATGAAGTCTTCAACAACAACCTCAATACCGACATCATGCTTACAGGCATATTTGGGTCTGCTTCGGGCAACGACTTTGCTTTTGGAAGCGAAAGCATTGGTCCCCCGGAGGCATTCTATCCCTTCGTAAGCATATCCTCCAACGGTAACATGGGCCTCGTTGACGAAGATGAGGAGGGTTCTTCGAGTGATGAATACGATGAGGACCTCAACCTCGCCGACTTTTTGGAGATAGACACCGACGATACTGATGGAGATGACTTCGACGATGAGTTCGACTTTACTGATGTGCCCGCTACACCGGCTAGCTCTAGCATGCCACATCATGGCTCCACTCCAGCGGCACCTTCCTCTGTCACGCCCAACGCACGCGCACGGGCCACATCAGACCTTATGCTCCAGCACTTCGACCGTGGCGTCGTTACTGCTTTCCGCAGCAACCAGAACCGTTACCGCGATGTTGCTTCTCTGCCATCGGATCCTGCAGCGCGCGCCTCCGTTTCCCGCCCGGTTCGATCTGGCAAGTCCGCTGAGGCTCTGATAACTCCTCTACGAAAGCGCACCCGGTCAAACAGAGTCGCCAAATCGCCTTTGAAAAACGGCACGACTATGAACCGCAGCTCACCCCTCTCTGGTGTCACCAAGGCTACATCACGGTTACAAAAGTCGGTCATGGGCTCTCCCACCAAACCCCATGGACCTCCTAAGATGGGTAAATTCTCTTGAGTGTGTCACCACTCCACAACCCGACGTGCGGAAGATCGGAAGATGGAACGACGAGTGTCTGGATGGAAGCATCAGTAGTCTTCCACGGGGATGTGCCGACGACATTACGATACCCACGACCTTTTATCTTCTAGCTGTTTCAGCGGCTATGTTGTTATTACGCACGTTACATGCACTTGCATATTTCTCAAAAGTCCTTGGATCTTTGTTAGACGGTCCCGGATAAAAGTTGAGCGAGGTGCCTGGCCTTAGAGCGGAACTTTCCATGCGGCAACGCGACGGCATCGTCCGGCTAGTGCAGCCTTATTTGCGTCTTCACGAGTTTCCTTTGTTTGGTCGGAGCGTTTTGGTTAAGTACACTGTGTTTTTACATCGATCTTCGCTATGCGTCTTGTTGCTTCCTTCAAATGAGCCAAGGGTTTTCTGGGATGATACCACGTGTTTTGCGAGTACGATCTGTATGGGTTCTGCTTCCTCTGGCGTTTGGGTTCACAGTTTGGCAGACTGTTGACCTAATGGCGTTGAGGTCGATAGATGGCTCACAGTCACATCGCATTCGGGTCTCTTATGTATTTGGATTTAAACCGGACGGATGTATCGTGTAGGATTATCGGCATGGCAATGGTAGTTTCTTGCTTAATCGAAATGTGTTCATCAACTTCATCGTGAACAAGCATGTGATCTGCAACAGTATTTGATGTGCCTCTAGATCTTCAAGCGACTCCCGGCTCCGTTACAGGTTCATCCTTCTGTTCCTGCATATGATGGCGCAATCATGGCGGGATGTCAGGATGCTGGCTGGGATGCTTAGCGTGGTGCGTTGTCTGTGCGCACCCTACGTCACACCCCGGCCCAGCTCCTCCCGCATGTGAAGATCAACGCGCTCGACATGCCAACACCAAGCCATGTAGCCAGCCGTCCCCACAAGACTGCGATGGAGAAACTCAAGGATGACTTTCGCGAGGATAGGTCACTTCTTCAAATCGCAACAGTAAGACATCTCCGCCACAAGCCACGCAATCGCGTTCTGCTGCAGCGAGTCCTGCACACATCCCACACGCATGCTCACCAGTACGCAGGACGCCATCATTCTCCCCCTCCGCATAGCGACGTCGCCAGCCCTACTGCGAACCTATCTTCGCACTGTCCTCCTCTTTATCACCTCGACCATCCTCTTCGCCTTCGCCGTCGTCGCATACTCGTCCTTCTACTACAACTACATACCCGTGCGCGGCATCTCCGTACCCGTATACCTGCAATTCGACCACGGTCCGATAATACCCTACGCAAACGCGCAATCAAATGGCGTACCGACCGGCAAGCCCGCTAAATGGCCCTATGGTCTCGCCAACATACCCGGCTTGGTAGACCGCCAGAAGTACGATGTCGTTGTCGAGATGGAAGTTCCGCGTAGCGATACAAATCTGAAAGCGGGGAACTGGATGGTTGGGTTGGAGTTCCGGGGTCCTACAACAATCGGACAGGGTGTCAAGCATCTACTCGGGTGGGATGAGGAGTGGAGTGTCGAAGACCACAGTCAAGGCGGTACACCCGGTGCCACGGCGGAGAAGATCGTCACAGAAGGTGCTACGAGCGGGACGCCTACCGTACTAGCCAGAAGTCGGAGACCAGTTCTCTTGACGTATCGAAGTCGGATACTCGAGATCATCTACAGGCTCATGCGGCTGCCATTGTATCTTATCGGCTGGCACACAGAGTCCGAACACATCGAGATCAGCATGATGGAATCCGTCATGTTCGAACCTGGATACCGCAACATACCGTCTTCGCTCCGCTTGGAAATACGATCGAAACTGCCCCTCGAAGTCTACCGCGCCAGCGTACGCATCAGCGCCAGATTAGAAGGGTTCCGCTGGCTAATGTACCGATACTGGCTCACCAGCGCCATAGTCGGTATCCTCACATTCTGGGGCATGGAGATGGGTGTTTTGCTCTTCACATGGGGCATTTTTACCTTGCTATTTAGCAGTCCCAGTTCCAATCCCCCATCCCAGGACGATGACGCGTACCAGGGCAAAATCAAGAAAGAAGAAGGCGAACCCTTCCCCAAACTCGAACACGCAGACAACACAGAACCAGGCACACCCTACAGCGACACTAGTCGTACTTTCCCCACACTCCCTTCCCAACAACCGCTCTCGTATAGCTCGCCCAGTCCGAAAGAAGAAGGGGGAGAGCTTAGGCTGGAAGATATTCCTACGAGAGAGGAGCAAGAGGCTGATGACGAAGAGGATGATGATTTCATCTTGGAAGAGCCGGTGCCGAGGGGTGTGGAGAGGGAGGGGGTGTTTACGGATTCGGGGATTGGGACGAGTTTGGAGAGTAGTGTTGAGAGGGGGTTGGCGAGACGGAAGAGTGGGAGGGGGAGTGGGAAGGATAGGGATGGGGGTTAGTTGCCGATGGGGGGTATTGGCATTGGTAGTGGGAGGGGGATTAGGAGGGTACGGAGGTGTGCGGCTTGTGAGGCAAAGGATGTGTGGAAGTTGCGGTGAGGGGAGTTTGTGTGCTGTGGTTCGGGTTGTGCTGTAGGTGATATATCCATTCCTCTGTATTCATGCTATCTCTGTCCCCTGGGTACCTCCCACTATTACCCATCGTGGCATACACAGCCTCTCTCAAAGGTCCTTATATACTGGCACAGTTCCCTCGGGACACATTGGCATCTACAATCATAACTCGTTAGTCCAAATCCCCATATCGAAGAAGAAACCTCCCAGAACGACAACAAGACGAAAACAGGAGAAAAGACAAAACTTACATAACGATTATCATTACAATAACCCGCACACAGCTCAGCCATCTGAGCTCCCTCTGGCCAGCTTTTCTGGCGCGGGTCGCAGATCCAGCTGCATTCGAACTCGGAGCAGTAGGGTGTTGGGATGGAAAGTTTGTATGGCGCTGGAACGACCCTAGATATGTCGCGGATGGGACGACGCGGTTTCGTGAAATTTGGGGGCGAGGTGCCGATGGCGCAGAGGGGGAGCTTTGGGTGTGTGTTAGTATCCATCTTCTTCCTTGTTCTTCTATTTTCTTGGTGAAGGAAGCTTGGTTCGTTAAAGAAACTCACATCTTTGTCTCCCTGGCAGAGCGCATCACAAGTCTCTGAACCAAGGAAACATGCGGATTTGCAGTTTACAAGCGAACACGGAGTGCCGGATATGCTGCTGTGCTGTTCGGCTTGGGAGGCTAGTGGGTGGGCGGAGACGGTGAGGAGGGTGAGGAGGAGGGTGGAGATTGTGAGCTTCATCTTGGTGGTTGTTCGTGTGGTTGGTGTGTTGGTGAGGGTTTGTTGAAGTTTCTTTGGAAAAGTTGGAAGTTGGTCAAGTTAGTCGAGTCTAGAATGTTTGGTGTGGAGATTAGAGAGAGGGATGCGTAGGTTTATATAACCCCTCAGGAACTCTAGACTATTTTTTCGAACTTATGAACTGGATAAGTACCGTGCCACTTAACCAAAGTTAAGTGAGTTACCACCCTAGGTCTTACTGTTGCTTGCGACAAGAAGTTTTATGAATGCTTGCTCTATTGGTAGGTCCTATGATAGATGCGTTCTGTGGTTGGTGAAAAAGGTGTGTGCTGAAGAACCCCGGTTCAGGTACCCGAACCAAACTTGGACTGTGGTGACGAACAACAAGTACAACAGAGGCATTGGGCAGAGCGAAGTACATCGAGAACCCTTGGTTCATGGACTTAGGAACAAGACTGTTGCAGTGGACTACACACGGGAAGTGTTGCTGTTACAGATTGAAAGGTTGAGAGCTACATCCTAGTAGCGGGCGATGCAGTGTGGTAGCTGAATTCGATGTATAAGTCCGATATAGAAATTTGATGTATTACCAAAAGAAACGCTATATACAAAGCCCTCACATCCATTTACATCTAAAAGTACCTATCAAAACGCACTTCCAACCACCAGCCTAAAGCATAGGCCTCTCACTCGCCGGATCCTGCCCCTTCGCAAACTTCCTCTCAATCCTCTCCTTCCCCTTCTGCATATACCCCTCCACCTCCTCAAACTGGATCTGCGTCAACCCCGTCTTAACATCCATCTCACTCCGCTCAACCGTCTTCGCCTTGATAAACACGCCATTACTTTCCATCTTCTTCCCTTCAACAACCTCCTTGCAGAACGTAGCGTACTCGCTGAAATGCACAGCACTACTCGGAACACTCTCGAGCAACATGGCGAAACAATGCGGCATTGCTTCAAAGTCGCGCCACACGACCGGAACACCCTGCGCGACGCACTGTTGCGCCATGACGGCATCCTCATCTCTGAGCATTTCTTCGCCGACGGAGAAGAATAGCGGTGGGCTTTTGCTCCAGTCTTTTGCGATAAGTGGGGAGACGAGAGGATGCATCAGCGCACTTGCTTCAGCGTAGAAATCTGCGCGTGGGGGATCCGACGGCCACACGCCTTCGTCTCTGGGGAATTCTCTTGCGTCGGTTGAGCTGGGCGGGGGTAGGTAATCGTATGTTACTGCGCCCTCAATAGAAGGGAGACTACGCGTGATATCGAGCCAAGGAGACGCGAGGGCTACTCCAGCTGGAAGAGGGATGTCTACTTGCTTGCCGTGGAAATTAACGGTTGGGGTTTGGCCAGAGGGCGTGCTGCGGTGGATCTGAAGGAGGAGTTGGAGGAGCGCGGTGCAGCATGTTCCGCCAGCTGAGTCACCTCCGAAGACGATTTCGCTGGCGGAGACGGGGTCGTGGAAGGAGCCGGGTGGCGGGTGCAGGAGGGAGAGGTACGCTGTGAAACAGTCTAGCAGGGCGGAGGGAAAGGGGCCTTGCGGTGAGAGGCGGTATCGCACTGAAAAAACGCGACCACCTGTTTCTTTCGCTAGGCGTCCTGTCAAGGGCCGTGATGTCGCTGGGTCGAGGAGGTACATCGCACCGCCGTGGAAATAAAGGAGTGTGACTTTGCTCGTCGTTTCTTTCATGAGGTTCTCGTATTTATCTTTTTCGCTCATGTCGGCAGGTTCGGGTTCGTCGTCTTTTGCAGAGGCGCGGTAGCCGTCCCATTCTGCTTCTAGAGGTCGCTGTTCGGGCTTCGTCCATTGCTCTCCTCCGGTGCTCATATCGTCGATGGCTTTGAACATTATTTGTCGGATGTCGTCTTCTGGTGGTACATCTAACTTGACTTTACTAACCCAAATTTTGCCCTTGACGCCTGGGTCTTTGCAGGTTAGACGCTGCAGCTTTGAGATGGGCGTTGGTGTTGAGTTGGGGCCCATCATGTCGCGGAGCATGTTGACTGTGATTTCCGTCTTCAGATCCCATTTTGAGCTTGTCGGTGACATGGAAAGAGAATGCCATAATGCTGTTTTCAATAGAAACGGTGTTTTGGGAAGCAGAAGCTTGAGCAAGGCTGAAGGTGAAGCGTCCATGTTGGTGATGTTCCGCGGAGGCGTTGACTCAGGTCTTAGGTCTCGATGACTGTGAACGTGATCGGATATCACACTTTTACTGGTTTGGGGGTTGGAAAATTGGATTTTCGAGGTTTCCCAGACTACACTCAAGGTTAAAGGAGAGAAGGAAGTCACTTTAGTGGCAAACAGGTAGTCTTGACGTCGCGCTACTAGACCAACGCGGCATATAACAATGCCTCGGCACGAGTCATGATCTCATGCACAATATACGGTCTATACGCCCACGTGGGGGAATCTACGAAGACCCGCAAGCCGCAGCGATTGACGCTAGCTGTCCTTCCAAAAGATCAATCTTTCTTTATGTAGCTTTGGTACGATAGGAGGTTTACTGCATGTATTGAAAACGAGACCTTCACTACCACCTCCTCTATCTCCCGCACCCACCCGGACTCCATCGTTGGCGGTAGTGCAAATCATCAATCACATGTCACAGCGTCTACACAGAGTCTTCAATCTTTGATCCATTATTGAGAAAACACGTCGCGTTATCGTCCAATCATCAATAGTATTCAAGTACTATGCGCATACCTAGGTAGTAATAATGTGTTATGCGGGTTAGTGGTATCTTCCCATGTCGCCTTGTACCAACCAAACGCCTAATACCTCAATTCCCTAAACAGACGATACTGTAAGCCATATCCTTCTTCTTCGTCCCAAAGCGTGGTTCGTGTCCATGGCAGTCCATTCGCCAAGGAGCCAGCGGTCTCGTCGTCAATCATCGAATCACGACGAGAGCGTGGAGCTTCTGGGCCTGGCGATGGTGGTTTCCGATGATGGATCCTGAAGCCGGCGCGCTTGGCCAGGCTGATGATCTTCCGTCCTTGGAGTGTCTTCTACCCATCCAATTCACCCTCTTCACTGCCCCTCTCCGTCGCATTGCCATCGCCCGTGCCGTTGGCAGGAGGTTGGCTTTGGCTTGTCGCTTGTACGCCTTCCATCCCGTCGGGCGTGTCCCCGAAGTCGATGCCGTCCTCTGGTGTCCGGAGCCCTGCGTACATGGAGGGTTCTCCATCTTTGTCTGGCGACTTCTCGTACAGATCCGCCATAAGGTTGCAGGCTCTCCGAATGTCGCGCAACTGGACATGTTGTATCTCCCACCATGGTTTTCCATCATCGTCTCCTAGCTCTACCTCCGCCATACGCGCGCCGGCGTACAGCGATGCTGCGGCGATCGCTCGCGATGTGAACAATAGGCACATCTGTGTGGACGTCGAGTCGGAGAGGAAGGCCCAGGCTGAGTTGCGCAGCTTCTTGTTATGCTCAACTCCGTAGTACTTCATCATGTCGTACATGGTCTTGTATGGTGATTCCACGTTAAGATCGAAGCACAAGGCTTCGAGCAGGACGTCTTCGCTGTATAGGATTGTGTCGCGCCATTTCCAAAAATCTTTTGTCTGCTCGTCGACGAGCTTGTTGGGATCCTTGAGCGCGACCCGGACGCATGAAACAACGAGTTCTTTCATTTTGCGACAGTTTTCTTCGACTTTGGTCGCGAGGAATAACGCGGTTGCGGCGATTTGCTGGTAAAGTCAGACGCGTCCATATCGCATCTATCAGGAAGGGGGACTCACATAGTGGTGTAGTGGCTTATACCCCGGCCGCGGCTTCAAACTCATTCGCATCAGGTAGCGATTGAAGAAGACGGCCGCTGTACTAAGCGTAGTCTGTGGTAATTTGAGCATCATGCCCACCTGCAATATAAACCCGACACCCTTCCGCCGTAGTGTGCGCTCCTCCTCAGCGGGCATCCCATCGCATATCGACGGCGCCAGTAGCAGTTCTTCTTCGGTGAAAATCCACTGCATCTCGGCTTCGATGACGGCCGGCGGTGGCGGTCTGGGGGGCTCACGCTGCGGCGCCATCGCGTTGCTGGCGGTCGATACCATCACCGAGGGTTGTAGCACTAGAGGTTGTGTTTCGATGCGCGATAGTGGTGGTACAGATGGCGCGCAAAGGATATGTTCCGA